TGGAGTTAATTAAATCAGTGCTCACTGATCTTTACTAAGATTACTACTTGCTCACCGTACTTTAAACGGTTACTCAATGCTCACTCAACTATTAATTAATTTACTCAATGCTCACCATTGCTAATTCAGTCTATACAGCTGGACAAATATGATTACGTGGCGGATGGAAAAGTGACGTGGCAACAAACGGTGTTAGTTGATGACATGTAGGATAAAAACACATTTTATTAAGTACCAATTTTAATTCATTAACAGGAACATTTTCCAGCTTCCCCATTTGGAAACAAAACACGTCCAATTCACTTGCAGAAGACAAAATCATAAATCCCAATTTCAATTCTATAAACCAAGGGAAATGATTCCACTGCGTCTGTATGCGCCACCGCCTCTGCCACTCCTAAAGAAAGAGGTAAACTACAAATATTTGATGATGGAATCTTTGGTGGAATCATTGATGAAAAAAGAAGAAGCACATGGAGGAAACAGAAGAAGAAACACATGGGTCTTCAGATAAAGAAGAGAAAACAGATGGGCAGCTTTCTGTGATTTTATGGACCATGGTGTGCTTGATTGCCCCATTTGTCTCGAACCCTCACGATGTGCTCGATCGCCCAATTTTTACTTGACTGGATTGATTTAGGGGAAAAAACTAGGGTTCGAACTGATTTGGGATGAACTGTGCATATGTAAATTTCAATTAATTGGTTTGTAGATATAGAACTTCTTTGATACGGATTACAGAGCTGGGATTACCAATTGAATAAATTAGTTAGAGGATGTGATATGAAGATGAAGGTGATTTGGGGAAGGAAATTTTGCTCTACCTGATTTTCTTAGAATTTTGATATTCATTCCAGAAAATGTGTTTTCTGATGAATCTGATCATACGATTTTGAATATTTTAAAAATAATATTTTTAGATGATGTGGACGTGATTCATCATCCACGTCATTTTTTAATTCCAGGTGTAATTTATTTTCCACCTGTACAGATGGATTTGGCTCCAATGATGGATGGGTAACTTAATTAATAGTTGAGTGAGCATTGAGTAACCGTTTGAAGTTTGGTGAGCAAGTAGTAATCTTTAGTAAAGTTGGATGAGCACTGGTTTAATTAACTCGATGATTTGTTGGTTGATACATTGCCTAATCTTCAAGTGCTGAAAGATTAGGGCTTTTGTGCGAGTGTGCGAGGGAGTGGAAGGACAGGAGTGGAGGGAGAGCAGAAGAACTGAAAATTGAAAATTCTACGGCTTCTTTCTTTCCCTTTTATCTTTAGTCGGTTTTTTTTTTTTATGTTTGTCGGGTCGGTTCGGTTTGGGTTATATCGAGTTATCTTGCTTAACCCACAACCAGACCCGATAGCTTAACCCACTACCCAAAACCC